TATAAATAGAAGTTTAAAAATGATGTCAGAAAAATGTTAGTTTTGCCGTTGTTCATAAATACCTGTAGTGACGTAATGCTGGAAATAGAGTCATCAGTGTCCAAATGTGTATTGGTCCTTATCAGTGCCCGAATTTGTGACCACAATGTACTGATTCATAATCAAGGCAGCTGATTGAGACTCATTACACCACTCTACAGTAATTTGAAAGTGATTGCAGTACCAGTTTTGGCCACAATCTTGTATGTGGCTCATTTAATGCATTAAACTGATAACCCAATTTTAACCAGTTAATACCCTTGACCACTCTCACTTGGATCTATGGCTACCTGAAACAAGCTGATATGAACAAAGATGGCAAGATGTCATACAAGGAGGTCCAGATTCTTTTCAAGATGATCAACATAGACCTGAATGACGAATATGCTGTCAACCTCTTTAAGGTCAGCCTTATTCCTCAGCAGCACTTGACCTGCTTTGAAATGCTTCAATTGGAAATACTTTATTTACAGAAAGTTCTGTAAAAGCAACACAGACAAAAATGAACACTAAGACAAAAAGGATTTTAAGAACATAAAATGTATTTCATGTTCTTTAAAATCCTTTGTTTTTTATTTAGAGTGGAAAAATTAAAATAAATTAATTTGCTTGATATGTGTATAAATATTTAATTTGTGTATCAGAAGTGTGATAAATCAGAAGACGGACGGCTTGAACATGAAGAAATTGAGCTGTTTTGCCGTGAGTTGCTACGTCGGCCTGACCTGGATGCAGTGTTTCAGCAGTACTCCGCCAATGGTTGTGTCTTGTCCACCGTGGATTTGCGAGAATTCCTGAAAGACCAGGGCGAGGACCACACACTTGTGCATGCTCAGAGCCTTATTCTCAACTATGAACTCAATGAATGGGGTATTTGTACACTTCATTTACAGTAATAATCAGTATTATTTTATTGCAATTTGCACTTTTTTCCAGGCATGTGATACTGAGCATAGAGATGCATCTTTGTTCTGTCTTTTGCAGCCCAGAAGAACCAGTTTATGACACCCAATGGTTTCACCATGTACATGCTGTCTAAGGAGAATGATGTGTACAACCCAGACCACAGCAGAGTCTACCAGGACATGAGCCATCCACTTAGTCACTACTTTATCTCCTCCTCACACAACACCTACCTCACTAAAGATCAACTCATCAGCGAGAGCAGCGTTGACGCTTATATCAGGTAAAATGCTCAAATATATATAAATAGACAGCACTGGCGCTTTTTGCAGATAACGTATTCACATTTAGATGCATACTGGACGAGATGACTTTTTCAGGGAAATCTTTCACACAAACACATTTCACACATATGCTTTTTCTTGAGCAAATATTAAAATTGTTTATGTTTGTTTATGGCACAGAGCTCTAAGACAAGGCTGTCGCTGTGTGGAGCTGGACTGCTGGGATGGGGAAAAGGAGCCAGTTATTTACCATGGGCACACCCTCACATCCAAAGTGCCATTTAGCGAGGTGGTGAAGGTCATTGCTGAATACGCTTTCAGGGTGAGCAAAGGAAGTGGCTCTTCATCTTCAGCTTACTGGATGATGCATTTATTTTGGGAAATAATGCAAACAGTTGTTTTTACCTTAACCATCTGGGGTCTGAGGTGTTTTCTGGGCCCTGGAGGTGTTCTGACATGCTCTGACATTTATGCTTTTTTAGTCATTTTCATGGCTAGAGTCTGATTACACTGTATTCAGCACAAACTCTGCTAAAGTAATATTGTATGTAAAAACTAAAAAAGTTTTGAGAATTACGTTTTTTTCTTTTTTTTTTGTGTGTGACAAAACTAAAAAAACTTTGTCAATGAAATAAGGTCATGAAACCCATTCTAATTATTTCTTTACAAGACTTTTTTGGTGAAGAAATAATTAGTAAAAAATTTGAAAATTTGTAAATTTGTAATTTGTAAAAATTGTATCACATAGCCTAGAATAGTTGTTTCAAAACTATGAAAATCATCTTGACTACTCATTCAGATATTATTTTTATTTAAATTTTGTAATACAAGTTTTGTGTAAGAAAGCTTTATACAGGGAGGCAGTAACCCTCCATTAATATTGACACCTGAGAAAGACAAAGACCCTTCCCAATGGCCCTATTAGGTGATATTATTATGAGGAGCCCTGCACAAAGAATGAGGAGAGACTTTAAAAATGGCTTTTAGATTGTTTGGATTTATTTACAACACAACATAATCCAAAGATACACAACAAAAGACAAAAAAGCACATTAGTAAACACACCGATCACCGACAACTCGATGAAAAGCAGAGCAGTTCTGAAGTCGCTGATTCTTTGTTTTGAGGTGATGAGGGCGGTAACAGCTCTGCTCTCCTCCGGGTGGATCATTTGCATATGAACAGCTCATACACGTGTGGTCACATTAGCGCTAATCAGCTCTGGCTAGAGAAACTGTACATGTCGTTGCTTTCATACAAATTACTTAAACGGATAATATTTGTTTTTGATATGATTTACATCATTTAAAAATGGAGACTTCAAGCTTTAGTCATTTTCTGTCGCGTTTCAGAATGAACTTCACATTGAGAGAGACGGGAGAACACGCATCATGTTTATTTTCTTTATTTTACGAAAAACACAACATTTTGTTTTTATTACGAGTGCACACAAATAAAAGAAGACATTTAACAGTTTTGAATGATGTGTCTGGGGCTTAAGGCCCGTACACACCGGGACGAATATCAGCGCGCGTTATTCGTCAGCGTTTTTCAACGCGTTTTTTGTGTTCACACCCAAGCGTTTTTCGCTGACGATAAGCCGAATGAACATGCAAATTCATTCCCTGACATTAGATGGCGCTTAACCCTTGTGAAAAAAAAGTGCACTTTAGTGTACTTTTATAAAGTGTACTTATTACAAAAATAATACACTTTAAATGAATACACTTAAGTGCGATTTAAAAACAATTTTTTCGGGGTACTGAATGCACATTAAGTGTAATTTATTTAAAATATATCACATATTAAGTTGAAATTAAGTGTAATAAGTTGCAATCAAGTGTGATTTTTTGGAACAACTTAATTGGTACTTTAATACAACTTTACATACACTCTCACAATTGCTTCCAGTGTATTTAAAATACAGTTAAAGTGCACTACACAATATAATGATGCAATTAATGTGAACTAAAATATACTTTAATGTCAGTCAACAATACACTTAAGTGTGAATTAAGTGTAATGTTTTCGACAAACTTAATGCATATTATATGTAATTGATTTCAAATGTATCACAGATTAAGCTCAAATTAAATGCTATTAGTTGATATTAAGAGTGATTTTTGAAATATGGTAAAAGTGTACTTCCAAATATACTGACAAGCAAATAATGTCAACAAAAATATACTTTAATTATATAATAGTGTACTTGTTTATTACATTAAATACATTTTTTTAATTAAAAAAAATATATAGTTGCAATTTATTTCAAATTTGGACAAAAAAAGTCTTAATAACCTATATAGTTACAATCAACACAAATTCAATTTAAAACCCTCTATATTTACTAACAAAACAATCTCTAAAATAAATACATAAAAACCTTTCTGTTGATGCACAAGAAAAAACCCAAGAAACAAACGGTTACAACACTTAAAATGAATATTCTGCCATTATACGCACCTTCAAGTTGTTTCAAACCTGTATGAATTTTTCTTCTGCTGAACACAATGAAGATATTTTGAAAAATGTCAGTAACCAAATAGTTAACTGGTCCCATTGACTTCCATGGTATTTTGTTTCCTACTATGGAAGTCAATGGGACCAGTTAACTGTTTTGTTACTGACATTTTTCAAAATATCTTCGTTGTGTTCAGCAGAAGAAAGAAAGGTAACACTTAACTGCACACTATTATTCATTATAAGCATGAGTTAACAGTTAATCATTTAAAGCATTAATAGACATTAATAATAAGTTTCTAAATACAGCAATAAATGTTTTTTTCTTGATTTATAAGCATATCTATAATGTGTTTAATAATTGTAGTTTCATACTTTGTTAATGATCAATTAATACTTTCTTAATGAAGTATAGCATTATTTACAAACCAGTTATTTAAGAGTTGTCAGTGATTCATAAGATCACTTAAATGTAAGTTGAGGGTGAGTGTATGATGACAGAATTTTAGACATTTTCAGAAAACATAATTCTGTATGATTTATAAGATTGTTTCCATGTAAATTACTGGGATTACTATACTGTTGGGGTAATTTGGTCTCCATAACCTAGGGATTACCAGTACAAACATCATTTTAGAAGCAAACACACATTACATCAAATACACAACCCATGAATTAATACAAACAAAATGTGATGTTGCAAAATGTGAACACGGTGACGCTGTGCGGAGAAACAGAGCTGAGGCTGGGTCCAAACGCAGTGTAGCTTTATTAAACAAACTTAAAACAAGACACTAGAAGCAAGAATCGTGAAAGCACCAACGTAACACACATAAATTCAACAACCAACAAAGACAGGGCAGAAACACAGGGCTTAAATCAGGTGAACTAAACAAGATGATAAAACACAGGTGCATGAAATAAACCATAATCAGTCCAGGGAAAAACATGAATGAAACAATAAACTAGGAAGGAGTGCCCCCCAGAGGCTCAAGCGGGCACTCCAGCCGCAGATCGTCACAAACACTAAGATTCAAACGGGTAATGAAAAAGGTATTATTAGTTAACTCCTTCAGTTAACATGAACTAAGAATGAATAATACTTGAAGCATTTGTTAGCCTTAGTTAATGTTAATTTCAACATTTAATAATGCATTATTATATTCAAAAGTTGTGTACTAAAATTATAATGCACTGTGAACGTGTATGAACAATAACTATACATTGTTCTAACTTTAACAAACTATATTTGAATGAACTAATCTTAAAAAAGATTCATAAATACTGTAAAAAATGCTCATTTTTTAGATCATGTTTTGCTAATACATAAACTAATATTAACAAATGAAACCTAATTAAAGTGTTAACAAACCTGGTTAATTTTAGCTCTTAAACCTTTTCGTAGCACCAACATTAAAGAGGACAAAATGCTTACTTCAGCATTACAGTGAATATAATTTTGTCTAAAAAATAAAAATAAAATAAAAATGAAGAAATCCAAAGGCAAAAAAAACAAGAAAACCAAAATCATTTGTCACCAAATGTTTTGAAGTAGTTGGAAAGTCCTGTTTATGTCAATGTCCCGGTGCTCTCCAAAGTAAATGTGAATGGATTTGTTCCAAAGAGGCAGGAAAGTCAGGAAAAAATACCTTGAGAAAAAAAAAAGTAAAAAAATTTGTTTATAAAACAGATCCAGTCCATTATTAAATTTGGCTCAAATTAATGAAAGTGATAGATATTTTCCCTTCAAAGTTTTACATACACCTTGCAGTATCTGCAAAATGTTAGTAATTTTAGCAATAAGAGGGAACACAAAAATGTATATGTTGTCTTTTTGTTTAGTACTACCCTGATGAAGCAGTTTATTCTGCAAGGTGTAGGCCTACGTAAACTTTTGACTGCTAACTGTTGATGAATGTGTGATGTGATGAATTACCTTACCTCATCAGCGTCACACATAAATTATTGGAAACATGATAAATTTAGCTCCCGAATCTACAGTATATTGCATAGCAACGTTACTATCTGCGATTAAAAAGCACTCATCGCAATATCAACTGCGGTAAAAAAAAAAAAATCAATAAGGAAAGCAAAGACTTACTTGACTAATTATTTGCAGTATAACACAATAATATCTGTCTGCAAACAGCCAAACGTGGCGCTCCTTTTGTTCTCTTGTTTTCATTTCCTCATCGCGATTGCAGAAACACAACAGCGCATTTTTCAAACTCTAGGGAAGTAGTGCGTCATCATGACGTCTGGCGCATGCGCATTAAACAACGTGTTCATATACAGTATATTTTTATTTCAACTTTTCTGTTTAAGTTGAAGTTGTTCTAACTCTTTGTGTTGTTATATTCTGTAAGTTCACAAAACGCTACTCTTTCAACCAACTAAAAGTCAATATTTTTGTTCAGTGTAGATTGCAATTAAATGTGTTTAATTGACTTTCTCACATATGTAAAGTACCACACATTACTGTTATGCTTAGACTCCTCTCATAAATTACATTTTATTGTCATATATTATGTAGAAAACTGACAAAAATGTCAACAATAAGTTGTCCTGGATTATACTGTATTGCAAATTTATTGGAAAACACATTCAAAGTGCATTGATGCACACAGTCGATATATTCTAGATTAAACACATTTAAAATAAATGAACTAATTGTTTTTGGACAACACACTTGAGTTGAAATTAAAATGAATTACTTTCCATATTTTCCATTAAAATTATTATTTTATTTAGTATATTAGTCAATTCATCAAAATACATTTCATTTAATAACTTTAAAACACTATAAAATCATAATTATTTAAAATGTAAAACTTAAGTAGACACAATTAAAAAGGGAATTTTTTAAAACATGCACTTAAGTGTGATTAGAAATAATAACATGAAAGTGTACTTTCTTTAACTAAAACTTAAGTAGACATTATTAAAAAATGATTTTTTTAAAAACATGCACTTAGGTGTATTTAGAAATATTGTGATGAAAGTGTACTTTTTTAAGTTAAATTTAATTAGATATTATTACAAAGTGCATTTGTAAAAAGTACACTTAAGCGTGTTTATAAATATGATCACGAAAGTGTACTTTCTATAAGTAAAACTTAATTAGACATTATTATAAAGTGCATTTTTAAAAAGTACACTTAAGTGTGTTTTATAAATATTGTCATGAAAGTGTACTTAGTATACTTTAAGTAAAACTTAATTACATATTATTACAAAGTGCATTTTTAAAAAGTACACTTAAGTGTGTTTAGAAATATTGTCATGAAAGTGTACTTACTTTAAGTTAAACTTAATTACATATTATTACAAAGTGCATTTTTAAAAGTGCACTTAAGTGTGTTTATAATAATGTGATGAAAGTGTACTTACTTTAAGTTAAACTTAAGTGGTCTTTAATTGTAATTATATTATATTATCTGCAAGTACACTTTTCAAAAAGTATACTTTCATGAGTTTACGCACACAAAAGTACACTTTCAATACAATTAACCACACTTCTTTTTCACAAGGGAATGTAAAACAGAAATAATAATAGAATACTATACTAGGGTGATCATATTCATGTCTCAATTTTTTATTATGACAGATAGAAAAAAACCGAATGAAATAATGATAGAAATAATGTCTTCTGTATTAGAAAAATATATAGGCCTAAATAATAAATAACTAAAAGAAATGCCTCCAAATGTAACAAAAAATAGCTCTCAAACTTACAAAAACGAACTAACAAAATCTATTTATATCTTTAGTTTTCATTCTCTTTATCTTGTTTTTCTTCCTCGTCCACCTTGTTTGCCCATCTATATTTTGCTGTAGGACTGATCTTTGCCAGCAGTTTTTGTTTGAAAACCAGGACATTTTCATCACTTAAAAACAGTCAGGACAGGACGTGGAAACAGGACATGTGTAACGCAAAGTTGAGATGTTGCCCAGAGATAATTAGCAGTTGTCGGATGAACAGATGCACGAGAGACGAGAGTTGTCGTATTTCCCCGCGTTTAATAAAACCACTCAAACGTCACACTCGTCCTCCTCATACACGGGGATCGAGCGAGAGAAAACAAACAAACAAACAAACAAACAAACAAACAAACAAACATCTGGTCACAATAGAAAAATAAAATAAAAGAAAGAATACAAAGAGTCGGCAGAGCGGTTCTCTCCTCTCCTCACTTGTCAAAATCTAACTGACATTATGCACACTATGCGCTGTTCTCATTTCAACTCAGATTTCTATAAAGCACAAAGTGACGTTTTACACATGTCCCGGGAAAACAGGACTGTTGGTCACCCTATACTATACTATTATTACAGAAATACTAATATAAATATTATCTTATAGCTCTTTGTGCTCCGAGACCAGCAGCTCAACATTCATCTTGCCCATAGGTATCTTATCTCTTCTTCGCCGTATGTGTGCTCGGCAAGACCGTTTTGTGTTTGAGCGCCCTCAAGTTGTGTTTTACTGTAACTTCAGAAGTACCAGACACGTGAGCAAACCCGCCGATCTCGTTGGTCGAATAGGTTTTGACGCGGCGCGTCAAACCAAAAAAACGAACCCGAGGCGGTTTTTTTTTAAAATGACGCTTTTACGCGTGGCGTTTTTCGCGTCGGTGTGAACACTCACATTGACATTGGCGCCCATTGTTTAGTCACGAGGCGTTAAACTTCGACGAATATCGCACGCAAAATTCGTCCCGGTGTGAACAGGCCTTCAGGGTAAAGCGCACAGGCTCACAACTGAAGGAATACATATGCTTACAAATCAAATGGTTTGGTAAAGTCACACAAATTAAACATGTCCATGTCCAAACATGTCCATGTCCAAACAAGTCCATGTTGCACAAAAATAAACACTGAAGATAATTACTATGTTTTTTTTTTTGTTTTACAGTGGGTCATAATATATCATATCTTTTAGTTTGTCAGTGCGTTTATTTTTTTTTCTGTGCATTTCTGCACTAACTCAAAACGTGCGTACACCACCTCCTGAGCTGGTGTAGGATTTGAGTGTGCCATACGCCAACGTCCATATTGATAAATCTCTAAGTCACCGTGGTTTTAGGTGTACGCTGGAAATTTGGTGTACGCACTTTTGATAAATGAGGGCCATTGATACTACAACTGCAGTAGGATGTCATCTCAGAAAATGTCTAATGAAACTGCTTTGTTTTTAATGGGGATTTAAAAAAAAAATGGGTGGATTTTTATCATTTTAGGGTGATTGTGTTCACACACTGCGAAGACACATTTATATTCAAAAACAATAAAAAAAATATAAAATTGGATTTGCATAATAGGTGCCATTTTGGCTTTAAAAATTGTATCAGGAGATAAGTATTAGTAGACAAGCTTGGGTACCTATTTGAGAATCAAATGTGGGCGGAATTATTTCAAACCAATTATGTTTGAAAAATCTGACCTAACTCTATACCACAACAGATTTCTAGCATCCCTCCAACCTTAGCCTGGTTCAACCAGACTCTAGTTCATTTCATTTCCACATAGAGTCTGGAACCGCTCCATTGAAAAACGTTTCCTTCCTTGTAGGCGGGTTCACTTTTAAAGTTCAAATCTATTGGATCTGCCCAAAGTCACTCACGATCTGCCATAGCCAATCGCTAACGGGGTGTCGTGAGTGACGTATGTCACGCGCCGAAATGGCTGGAAACAACAAGTCCGAATGATCAGAGGATTATGTTTACAATGGGCTCTATGCACGGCGTTATTTCCGGTGAAGGATTAAGGATGCTCGATAACTTCCGCCGATCATAGAGTCCAATGCAATACCGAGAATTTATATTGAATTTTATACTCCATGGTTATACTAATGAAACGCTAGTCACAAAAACAGATAAAACAGACACCCCTCGTTGTGTTTATGCTTCTTTTTAAAATTATATTAAATAAACATAACTATATATAAAATTACATCTAAACGTATGTACGTTTCGTTTCAAAGACGGGAGGACAGTAAATATTGAAGACTCTGCCATAATCCCGTTTTCTCCGGTTTTCCTCCGCTTTAATCTACACAACCGGAAATGGACGAGCATCCTTACGTCAAATGCGGAACTTATGCGTGCATATATCCCATAGGATTTCAGTCAACGAGCGCCGCAGGTTTTGTTAATCTAGGAACAATTATTAATTCGAAATGTATATTTGACACGAAGGACAGTGATATATTCATTCAATGGTGGAAGCTGTGTCTCATTACAAATACGCCGCTGTGGTCGTTTCTGATCTGCCGCAAATGCTGTGGCAGCTACAGTGAATGATCAGTCTGTCTCTATCTGCAGATGTGTAATAAACAACAATTTTTCATATTACGTCTTATTGTTTCTTAATTACGTTCTTCAAAGTATGTGTTTGTACATTTTTATGTGGCATTTATTTTTTTTAGTAAAACAAATCAACCATTGCCATCTAAAACTGAAAATCAAATATCTTCAAAGTATGGTTTTTCACATTTTTATTTATGACAATTATTTTTTTCTAAATCACAACCAATTTGTATGATTTACAACATGTAAAACTGACACACCAACCTCCTGCACGAGTGCACAAGGGCTCAAAATGTTCTATTCATCACAAGAATCAGTAAATTTACAGTTGGGAATATGAGCGACTGACATGACTCCTGAGCGGATCTTCAACCATAGTTTAGCAGCCAGGACTCGGGGCTTCCGAACACCGCGAACACCAGGCTAAACCGTCCGTCCAAAATGTCACGGTCATCGTGCACGAACTGCCCAGCACAAACTTCCAAACTTTCTGCCTCCTTCACTTGGTCCTCAGTTGTGCAACAAGAGGTTAGACGATAACAAACCGGCTTTAAATTCTGTATATTCGGCAGTTTCTTTTCCAACAACGGACCGAATAGCTTTTCTCACGTCTTTCTCCGCTGCCATTACTGAATTGAAACTGACGCGCTTACATCAACGTCATCTTTCTCAGCCACTCCCTCTATTCGCTGATTGGTCCTACAAAAAATTGGTTTCTGGAAACCTAAGGATATGGAGCGATCCCAGACGTAGTACAGAAGTAAAATGAAATTGAGCGGAAGTGCGTAGGAGGGCGCAGCCAGGCTACTCCAACCTACCCAACTCCTCACTCTTAAATATTTTCTATCCCAACCAGGGATATGGGAGCACTCTGGGTTCAGGCCAAATAGCAAATATATATACTTTTACTATATATGATTATATGTAAGGGTGAACTCGTGAAATGGTTTATTTTATATTTCTGATAAACAAGTAATGGCTTCACATATTTTTTAAACATGT